AAGGAGAAAGAGAAAGAAAGAGAAAGAGAAGAGAGAGGGAAAGAGAAAGAGAGAGAGAGAAAGAAAGAGAGAGAAAAGAGAGAGAGAGAGACAGAAAGATTGAGATTCTTTTACTGTAATGTGAAAATCCATTCATATCAAGTACACTCATAACCACGAGTCCCAAAAGGATCTCGCAAGGAGCATAGAAGCACTGAGGAATACCCACATACATGCATGCACCCAGACACTCACCCACAAAGAGAACTCATACAAGTACGAATGAAAACAATGCAAATGTACATAATTGCAATTGGGCCAAGATCAAAATACATCACTGCACAATGAGATACACCCATGCTTGGTGAGCAAGAAACAAGTAAAATTTCTATAATGCCAGGTTTCCCTTACTTAAACCAACTTTCATCATCCAGTACTAGTTTTTCATACAACTAACACTAATTACATCTGGGTTCCTTTGGCGATGGACCTACAATTACCCTTGCTCTATCACTACACCAAACCAGAAAAGAAAGACATTTTATCAAGCCACATCCTTAACCACTTCAGTCTCTCCTGCAAGTAAGCAAAAAATATGAACACTTGCATTACCATGGACACTGTGCACAAACCTTCCAATATCAGTCTCACCATTTTTTTCTGTTGCTACAAATTACTGTGAATTCAAAATTACATCCCAACAACCAATGAACTTCACATTTGTGTAATATAATGAAAATAAATATTTCTCTCTCCTTTTTTCTGCAAATTCCCTATAATAAAAAAAGAGAGTTGAACAATACAGAGTGGATGTTATAATGTGCTCTAAACTTCACAACTTCATCGAGAGCAAAAAGGAGAAAAGCCAACTCAAATACTCCTTTCTTTGTCTCTTCTCTGAAACACCTGTTAAAAAGTCAATGTGAAATATCAATCTCGACTACCTCAAAACTCCATAAGGAAGAGCTGGTTCTGATGCTTTGATGCTGGCGCCAGGAAATGTACACCATAAATGGCCGTGAACCAACACCTTGCTGGAAAATAAGCTGTGTATGTGTGACACGGAACAATCTTGTGAGGATGAGTGAGAGGCCCAGCAACCTTAACCAATATATGCCCAACATGGTTATCTTCACTGCAGGTATTCCACTGCATAAAAAGCTATGATATGGCAGGATTCCCACAGTCTTAAATTACCATGTCAATAGCAATTGCAATATCACTAGTAACAGCCTTAGCTTCTATCATCATCATCATGATTGATGATAATACTAGAAATAAACCAAAGATAAAAATCATAATAATAGCAATAGTAATAATAATAATAATAATAATAATAATAATAATAATAATAATAATAATAATAATAATAATAATGATAATAATAATAATGATAATAATAATAATGATATCAATAATAAATATAAACATAAGAAATAATAATAATAATAATAACAATAATAATAATAATAATAATAATAATAATAATAATAATAATAATAACAATAACAACAACAATAATAACAATAAAAAAAAAAATAATAATAATAATGATAAATAGTAATAATACTGATGATAATGATCATAACAATAAAAGACAATAATAATAACAAACACAGTAACAGCAATAGTAATACTAACAGTATTAGTACTAGTACTAATACTAGTAATACTAGTACTACTAGTACTTGTACTAGTACTACTACTACTACTACTACTACTAAAACTAAAAATAGTAATAATTATAATAATTATAATAATCATAATAATTATTTATAATAATTATAATAACAAAATAATAATATTAAAAGTAAAAATAATAATATCAATATTAATAAGAATATTATTAATAGCATTATCCCCAATAATAACATTAATCAACATCTATAACATCAATGATAATTACATCAATAGTGATGATGATGATAATAATAATAATAATAATAATAATAATAATAATAATAATAATAATAATAATAATAATTAGATAAGTACTAAACAAATATTCAATGATTATATCAATAACAACAACCACATAAATGAAAATGAAATCAAAGAAACAACAAATAATATTATATAACAATACAAATAGAGCAATAATGATTACCAGATAATTATAGCAATAATAATAGCTAATAAACACAATGTCAATAAAAATAATCATACTATTAATAGCACTGGTCATGAAAATTTATCATAAAAGCATGCAATTTGAAAAGGAAAAAAGAAGGAAGAAATAAATACATATTTTGAATTGTAATACGGCTGCATGTGGGATATATAACATTAATTATACAAAAGTATACAAACATAAAAAAGGCAAGACATAGGTGTGCCAATGAGCATTGAAAAATTACTTGTAAAACCTGAAATATGAAGCACAGAGGTAAATGCAAGAAGTAGGTCACTGTGACTAGGTATGAAGCATGGAAGTTACTGTAAATTACAGACTAACAGAAAACTGAACATGACCCATGTGTGAAAGGGGGGTACAACACAAAGGGGCATAAAACAATACAAAATAAGATTTCCACTGGTATATGACCTACTTAATATGTATATAAAAAAATGGAAGCTATAGTAGAGAAAAAGAACATGTATGGCCATGGATAAAACTGAATACATATATGGTACACAAGAACACCTGGAAGTACACCATGTTGGGCTTGATGTTGAGCACAAACTGGCAGGCAGCTGAGCCTTCACTGTTATTGTCTGCAGTGTATATTGGCTGGATGGGCAGATGCAGATTCTGGAACCCTGCAGTGTACGAAAGACTGCCTGTAGTACACTGAGAGTCCAGCTGAGCCTATACACAATGTTGACACATTTCGTAAAATTTCTGAATTGTCTGTACAAAAATGTTAATAGCTGTCTGTACAAAATTTGGACAGTGACTGTAGTATCCGATGAAATCCAACAGGCTAGGGTGGCAAAATATCCCCAGGCCCACACAACTTACCACCAAGGGCTAGTAAGGAGAGAGAGCCATTCCTGTAACTGCCTGTTCTGATGGTCATTCACATGACAGTACCCTCTTGCTAATAAAACACTACAAGCAATGCCACCTTAATAGCCTATTCTGATTCCATCACTCCATTCTCCACTACTGTGCTTTCCTCGCCTCCTCCACTTACAGTGACAGCCTCTGCCTCACTGTCAGTTCTGGTCCGTTTTCTAGGTGCAATGCCACCAGCCTCACCCATATACTCTTCCCCTGTGCCATTATTCCCCCCTTCAGCCACTTCTGTCCCCTCATCTATTTCACTCTGCGTCCGTTTGCGCCCGTTCGTCAGTGGAGTTGCTGCTGTGTCTCTATCTGAAACCTCACTATTAGTCTGTGGCTCATAATGAGAAGTGTCCCCATTCGGCTGGGGCACCTGTGTCCTTTCCTCTGTCCGTTCTGCTTCACTGTTAACATCACTGGCTCCTTCTGGAGCCATCAGGCTGCTGGAATCATCTGCAGCCTGGGTGCCAGGAGTCTGTGTAACTGCAAGCTGGCCAGTCAATTGAGTGATGCGCTCCTTAGCTTGCCGCAGCTGCTGTTGGAGGTAGTATATGGTCCCCTGCATCCCCTCTGTATCCTCATCCATCTCTAACAGGAACTCATCCAACTCTGAAAGAAGTGAAAATTAAATAAATTCCATGAAGTCATATATATCATATATTGATAGACCACTGAAAAAAAAAAAATAATAATAATAATAATAATAACAATAATAATAATAATGATAATAGTAATAATGACATGAACCATTATGCCAACAGGTACACACATGCCAAGCCCATCTATGATATCAACAAGGACAACAACAACAATAACAATAACAATAATAATAGCAACAATAACAATAAAAACAATGATAGTAATAATAATAATATATGATAATAAAATTATAAAATAATAATAATAATAAAAAATACTACTAATAATAGTAATAATATTAACATTAATATTAATAATAATATTAATAATAATATTAATAATAATAATAATAATAAAAATAATAATAATAAAAATAATAATAATAATAAAAATAATAATAAAAATAATAATAATAATAACAATAATAATAATAATAATAATAATAATAATAATAATAATAATAATAATAATAGCAATAATAACAACAATAACAAAAGCAATGATAATAATAATATCAATAAAAAATAAAATTAGAAATACAAATAAAATAAAGGCAATAATAAAACAATAATGATAAAGATGAAGACAACAATGATGATAATCATAATAATCAAAACCATAGTAATAACAATAAAAAAAAAAAATAATAATAATAATAATAAAAAAAAATAATAATGACAATAATAATAATAATAATAATAATAATAATATTAACAATAACAATAAAAATAATAATGATAAATAATAATACAAAAATACAATAACTGTATCACTACCAAGATAGTGATAATAATTTAAGTGGAGGTAAAAAATAATAATAATAACAGTGAATAATAATAAAGAGATGATGATGATCACACTAAAAATAACAATGATAATAATAGATAGTGACAATAACAATAATAAAATAATAATAATAATAAAGAGATGATGATGATCACACTAAAAATAATAATAATAATAATAATAAGAAGAAGAAGAAGAAGTAGAAGAAGAAAGACAAAACCAATAATAATAGTAATACCATTCAATATCATCAACATTATCATCAATATCAGTATAACTACTACTATAACTTATTATCATTATCATTGGTATCATTAATAGTATCACTATTATCATTATTACCATCATCATCATTACTATTATCATTATCAATATTATCATCATTATCATTATAATAAATATCATTATTATTATCATCATTATCATCAGCACTGCCAATAACAATAACAATAAGAATAATGGCAGAAATAATAATAATGATGATGATGATGATGATGATGATGATGATGATAATAATAATAACAATGATAATATTAATAATAAAAGCAATAACAATAGAAATAACAATAACAATAATAATAACAATAATGGTTATAACAATAATGATAATAATAATCATAATTATCATAACAATAACAATAACAATAATGATAATAATTGCAACAATGACAATAACACCAATAACAATAATAGCAATACCAATAACAATAATAATAATAATAATAATAATTATATTATTATTATTATTATTATTATTATTATAATAATAATAATAATAATAAATAATAATATAATAATAATAATAATAATAATAATAATAATAATAATAATAAAAATAATAATAATATAAATAATAATAATAATAATAATAATAATAATAATAATAATATTAATATTAATATTAATAATAATAACAATGACAATGATGATAATGATGTTAACAATGACAATAATGATGATGTTTGAGGTGATAATAATGATGATGTTTGAGGTGATATTGATGATGATGATTGATGATGATTGATGATGATAATGACGACGATGATGATGATGATGATGGTGATAATGATAACAAAAAAATAAAAAATTAGATGTTTAATATATTCAAATAAAAGTGGAAGGGGTAAAGGTACTTAAATTTCATTGTCATATGGTAAAGTAATATGTTAATGTAAGAGGTATAAAGTAAATGCATTAGGGTAGTTATTGATAGGATGGGAGGGGATAAGGATAGAGGGTGATTAGATTAAATGAAGGATATTTATGCTTCTAAGGAAGGAGAAAAAGTTGTCAAAGGAAAAGGTAGAGGGCTCCAAGAGGATGTCCAATAAGTTGGGGGGTCGAGGAAGTGAGAATAAGTGAGGAAAAGCAGAGAAGGGGGTTGCTGTGAAGCAGGAATAGGATAGTAGCATGTGTGTGACTGAAAAAGGGACATTGCATGAGGGGCATAGTGGTGGACTGGATTGTGACATTGGATTGTGTTAGGCGAGTGTGTCCGTGTTGGCGGCCATGAGCAGTTTCCCAGCATCTGTTCTTATGGGATGCTAGTGACTAAGGAGAGATGGAATGTTTAATGTTATGCAGTTTCTTAGTGTCAAGGCCAAACCAGAAAGACTGCCAGTCCAGAATGACTGCAAGCAGGTGAAGAGGCATATGTGAAAAAATCTGGGATGATAAGATGTGGACAAGGTGGCAGAGTCAGCTAGTGTGTCTGCCTGTTCATTGCCAGGGATCCCAATGTGGCTGAGTATCCAGCAAAAACTGACAATTTTGTTATACATGGCTAGAGAGAATAGTTGGTCTTGAATCTTGCAGACAAGAGGGTTAATTGGTTATAGAGAATGAATAAGAGATAGTTTTTACAGTCAGTGAAAATTGTGAATGATGTGGATGTTTGGCAAGACATAGGTTTTAATGTGAAGAGGTTCGCACACAATTCAGTTGTGAGGATGCTGGATATGGGTGGAAGTGGAAAGATGAACGTACAGGAGGGGAAGATCACAACAAAACCAGCTCCAGAAGATGGATTTGGACCCATCTGTACAAATGTGAGTGCTGAAGGAGTGGGTTGAGGTACGGTTGAGAAAATGAGTGAGAAGGATAGAAGCATAGACCGCAGTGATTGATAGTATCTAAATGAGTTAGAAGAGAAGTAGAGGTAGAAGGAATACATATGATAGCATTAGTCAAGAATGGAGAGGATCAGAGAAGTATGGAGATGGAGAATGGTTATGATCGGGAAGAGGATGGAGAAGGATTTGGGCGTAAAAAAGCGGATACCATGGTTTGTGGCTCAGAAAGAGGGTAAAGATATTGCAGATTGAATTAGTTGACGGAGAGTAGGTATAGATGAGCCTGATGTATAGATGATAGAATCATCTGCATACAGGGAGGAATAGTGTAGTGCTCAGTACACTCCCTTATGGGGCAACTTCATATTGAGGAAAAGCTGAAACAGAAGAAGGAATTTTGACTCGGAAGGTAGAATTATTAAGAATTATGGTAGAATTATGCCTTTTCCAGGTAGAAGAAAACAGCCAGTACTGAGGTATGGTTTACAAATGAAAACAGCTAGTACTGAGCTATGGTTTGCAAATGAAGAGATGTAATTTTCAAAATGTGCTTTGAGCATGTTGGAATCCAAATTGGCAGGATGAGATAAAGCTACAGATACAACATTGGGCGTAGGTTTACCATTCTTTCTAATAATTTACACAAGCAGCTAGTCAGAGCTATGTGTCAGTAGTCTTGAGGGAGGGTGCCAAGTTTATTAGGTTTCAGAAAAGGTAGAATGAGTGATTTAAGCTAGTGAGGAAGAAAGTTTCCAGTTGTCCAAATATTCTTGAAGACTGTTAAAAGGAAGGATGTCATAGCATACAGTAGCGTATGTCATTAGGGCCTTCATACGTGTTGCAGCATGACAAAAAGGCAGAAAGGAGTTCAATAGTGGAGAAGGGGGCGTTGTAGGGTTCAGTTCAGATGTAGGATATGGGAATGCTTTCCTTGGCTGTTTTGATGGTATAGAAGTGGGGAGAAAGGTGAGAGCCACTACTAACCTGGCTGAAATATGCACCAGGTTCAGTAGCAACTTGTAAAGGTTCAGAAATAAGGGTGTTATGGATATGGAGGACTGGGGCAGGAGCAGGAGGATGTTTTCCCGATAGTTTATGGATTTTACACCATAATGTGGAGACTGGTGTCAAGGAGGGGATTGTGGAGATGTAATTTTGCCAGCTGGTTTTAACCCATTAACACCAATATATTTTGAAGCTGAAAATAAAAGATTCCAGGCGGCTACAAAATTGGCAGGCAGGGCTGCCCCGGACTCTGCTCACCGGCCGGCCGCGGCCCACTGCTACGACAGAGAACAAGCCCCGATACAGTGTTACACTGGCGGAACACCCGGCAATGTTTATTTTTTCGGGTGTCTCATATGTGGGACACCCGTCATTAGTGGGTTAAAGAGTTTCGGATTGTGTGGCATAATTGAGCTGCTATTTCTTAACTCTATTAAGGCTGTTTGACAGCTACTCAATGCTGCTCGCTTCTTTCAAAGTGCTTTGGAGCATTCGGTGTTCCACCATGGAATGCATTTAGATATGTATGGTCTGGATGTTTGTGGAATGGCTGTGAAAGCAGCAGTCAGGATAGTGATTGTGAAATAAGAAAGCATGTCAAATGTAGAAGAAAAGGATGATAGAGGAAGAGGGAGCATGTGTCAAAGTGAGTGGAGTGGTATGAGAAGATGGATAAGGTCATTGTTAGAAAGAAGTGAGAATCAGTGATAGAGTCACCCCAGAGAGTGTGGCAATAGTTAAAATCTCCAAGTATGAGAAAAGATGGTTGAAGTCAAGAAAGTAGCTTCAAAAGCATTGAAGTCAATAGGAATGTTTAGGGAAAAGTAAATTGAAATAACTTTAATCTAACAGAGAAGGAAGATGCATATAATAGTGGCAGGGACAGTGGTTTGAAAAGGAGGTATAGTGTATGACGTTTTATGATGGTTGAGTACAGAGGAGAGGGAGAGAATGAGGGGATGATACATGATAATTTGGGATTAGTATTGGAGGATGTGTTAGAAGGGTTTCTTGGAGACAGATAATGGATGGGTGGTAGGAGGATATGAGATGACACAGATTAGGTCTGTGAGTGCGAAAGCCTTGAATGTTCCACTATAAAAGTCATTGTCGATCAATCAACAGGTGATAATGGTATAGATGTTTGTCTGAGCAGTAGGAGAATGGGTATCAGAGGGTTGAGGTATGGAAGGTGGGATCTGGGGAAGGGTATTGTGACAAAAGGGAGTGGGAGGGATAGTGGAAAAGGACGGGGTTTAGGTATGGTTTTTGGTTTGGGTGGTGGGGAGGGCAGGGTATGTTGGGAACAAGTAGGGGAAGAGGGGTAGTGGGAATATATGGAGGAGGATCGATGTCAGCAGTCACTCTGATTGCAGGTTGAGTGGGAGGAGAGGTATTAGAGAATGATTGAGGGTGAGGAGTGGGTAGGTATCTGAGGAGAAGATAATGTAGTTGAAGGTGTGTATGTGTATGTGAAGATGGGGTGGAACAAATAGTTTGTCTGGTGCAGTGGGTAATGTGTTGAGGAGTAGGCATATGGGGAGTTGTGGATATTGGAGTATCTGGATTTAGAATGGATTTGGTTGGGAGACGGGGGTTGAGTTGGGAAGGTGAAGAGTAGGGGGAAGAGGTACTGTTGAAGATGGGAAGACATTGCTTCTTGCTTGGCTTCTTGCCTGGCTTCTTGTAGAGTAAGGCTAAGTTTACATCTAAGAACTGTGACTTTGGGTTCAAATTTGTAGGCCGGGCATCTCCTATAAAATACATTATGTGGGTCTCCACAATTGGCGCATGTACACAAATGTGCAGAGCAATTTGAGCAGCCACAACCAGGTTGGTCACATAGAGGGCATTGGGATGTGGAGTGACAGTGCTTTGCAAGGTGGCCAAAACGCCAACATTTCTGACACTGACAGGGAGAAGGTCGATACGGTCTGACATGGCAAGATCCTCCACCAATATAAGTCATGTCTACGGAAGGTAATCTTGGCAATACTGATATTACGGCAATAATGTTGAAGAGTTGTAATAATGGAGAAGGATGTAGGAGATGGAGATAGTTGTGCATGAGATGGGGTCAAGGATATAAGAGTTGGAGGTTGAGTTATCTGGGTAGATAGTTTAGGATGGGCTAAACTGACAGTAGGTGTCGACAAGCGTTGTAGTAGTAGTGGTCTGAGCCGTGGTCAAAGGTCAAAGGTGGGTAAACCACCTGATGGAGGGGGGGGAAGGGGTTTAAATTGAGTTAGTTAGCGTATAGTATAGGTACATGGATGAGGAAACTACCAAACGAGTATTAACCGCCTGCTATGGCTCGTTGTCTTGCAGCCGGCGTGCGAGTCCCTCAGCACCCGGAGAGGTACGTCGCTAATGAGCGCCCAGGTACACCTATGTGGACTTTTGCTTGCGGCAATCGTGCATAAGGCATTTAATTATGACATTGCGCATAGATATGAGTTCGTGAATGTTCAAGGAACACTTTTATACCAATATCAGGAAAAAATTATATCACCGTGATTTATGACGAAATATTTTGTGAAATATATCTAAAAAAAATGTAAGTTTTGTGTCCTTCTACACACGAAATATGCTTTGATCGAGACTCCCTGGTAATATGTTTTAGTTTACGAGGTAATATATACGTATATCACATACGAAGCACTTATGTTTAAAAATAGCCTTATAAGGAAGGATTGAAATATTTCCGTTACATTTCGCTCAACAGTCGGTACATCACAGCAGGGGGCAATTTGAATTGATTTGAAATTGGTAGTTACCACTGTAAAGACCAATTCAATCCGAATGTGACCTAAAAGTCAGATTTTTAAACTTCGGATGTATAAGCGAGATACAGATTATTTCATGTTGAAGATGATAGTACTCAGTAATACCTGCTCTGAAATAAAAACTATATGGAATTTTGAGCTCGGTTGTATGCGTAGTCTTCGTCTGGCGTTCAAAAAGCTATCGCATCCGTTTCGTGCGTTCCCGATAAAAATGAATATGTTTAGACGTTACCGTAAGTCTTAGGCACCATAAATTGGCAAATATCCAACAACACATAGGCGTCTGCATGATTTTATGCACTTCTTAGTAAAGATAATGGGTGCAAATGACTAATCATAAACTATACACTTGTTCTCCTTTGCAATCTGTTAATATTGACAATTATCAAAGAAAATGGTATGAGAGGGATAACTAATATATTTTATTATTTAGATATGAAAGTCAATGTAGGCCTACTAAATGATGATTAATCTTTTTAACTTTATGTGCGTGCGTTCACGTACATATTGCATTGCAAAGTACATTAAATAAGTCTTTTTTTATATATATAATATCACTAGATTCAGAGAAAAATAACAGAGATAACGAACTTTGGCATGGGGCCAAATACAAAACGCCGTAGCTCCGTTATTTTTTTATGAATCTTCGGTACATCCCAACTCACGTAATTTTCATGCGATCCAAATGCAGTTTGTTGCTTTCACTAGAGCCTCGGCGTCCCAAGGCCATGTAAAAGGCCGATTTTTGAATTTTTGCCTTAATAAAAAAATAATAATATTTTAATGGTAAAAAAATAAAAAAATAAAATAAAAAATAGTTCTCTGTCCAGCTGTCCCCCGCCAAGGAAAAAAAAAAAAAAAAAAAAAAAAAAAAAAAAAAAAAAAAAAAAAAAAAAAAAAAAGGAATTCAAATTCGGCCTTTTACATGGCTATAGGCTAGAGTTAATCTAACACAAGTATTTTTTGGGGAATATTCTGTAAAGAACTGTGATAGTTGGGATGTACCGAAGACATACAAAAAAAAAAAAAAAAAAAAAAAAAAAAAAAAAAAAAAAAAAAAAAAAAAATTTTTTTTTTTACTTTTTGGGGTGCCCCCCCCATGGGGTAGCTAAGTTAAAATTTATATAAATAACGGAGTGCAATTCTTTACTCTATATCATGGAAAAAGAATCAATCAGTCATCTCCAATATTTTTTTTATGATGTATAGAGTAGGGAAAGGTGGCCATTTTCCAGGACGGTCCCCTTAAGGTTATCTGATAAAGGGGCAAGACTCCATACCCCTAATAAGGGCACAAAATCTTCATTACTGGCCATAAATAGTCCACCACTCAGGGTCCTTATGAGGGGTAAGGGCTAGATAATTACCGAGGGAATATAATACGAGTGGCTCTCTGAGGCTGTTCATCCTTTCAACATGGCTCACACTTTAAGAATTGGACAGGGGAAGGAGATGGGGAAGGTAGGAAAAGGAAAAGAGGAGAAAAGGTCATGCAAAATACTTGTGCCAGTGGCTGAGGTCCAAGGCAAGGGTGATTCCCTACATTGCACCCCAGCCTCCTTCTCCTAAGCCCACCCATGACAATAACGGGCAAGGGATTAATGAGAGATAATATCTCTCATTATTATCATTATAATGATAATGATAATGATAATGATAATGATAATGATGACGATGACAAGAATGATAATGAAATGATACAAGCAATTACAGTTATTACCCTCAAATAAAATAAAATATCAAACATACCAATGCTACCTTACAATACAGGACTTGGTGCAAGCTACAGTTTATAAATAAAGCATCTTCATGTGTATGCACTGATTCCTACAACGTACTTAAACACAACAGACTTACCAGACTGAGACTTCTTGAGTTCCTCACTAAAGTTCCTCTGAAGAGCAAGGTCACCCTCCAGCTTTGCCAGTCGACCTGAGGAGATCATTCGGCCAAGCTCCTCATTCTCCTTAATGAGAAGGCGACACTTTGCCATCAGCTGTTTCCCAGTGTTGCTGTTGAAGGAGAACCGTTCACCAGTCACTTACGTGTTGTAACACTTCCAAACTTGCAAATCAGACAAAAATTAAAGAATAAAAATAAAATAAACATAAAACATGAAAATTAGCCTTGTACAATACACTAACACATTTCATCTCAGCACTTGGAAGCAACAACACTTTGGTATATATCCCTCACTGTACAATGAAAAATATCACTATGGTGACCCTAGTCACAAGTGTATGTTTCTACCTCATAAAGCACTGTTTTCACACTGAACATTGAAAAGGTTCTCTGGTAGTTCATTTTCTCACACTTGTTCTAAATCATCACTGCTAGATCCGTATCTTTTAGTTAACATTTGTGTATTGTAAAACTATATATTCATTTAAATTCTATGCAGATATCAACTACCATTTCTTGAGCACATGTACAAATGTGTAACAAATCACTTGCACTGTAACCAAGATCTTCCATTTCTCCTCAAATAATTACTTGAAATGAAAGATGTGTGTCACTGAAATGAGATGCAGAAGCAGGTTACCACTGAAAAGTCTTCCTTTCTAGAACATACTGTTATGGTCCTTGCCATGCAAGTTTATCCATGCAATACATTTTTTCTAAAAATCTTAATAAATTCTTAATGAAGAAAGAAAACAATAAAACCATAAACAAAAAAAAAAAAACAAGTACAAAATATATTTTAAACATGTTGCTGGTATCTCCAAGTCCAATATCAATTTCTTTGGTCAAGCAACAATCATTAAATCATTTGCAACAAAGTTTGAAGCTTCACCTTATCTTTACCTAATAACATTGGCAATCTTATCATGAATAGTGTTCATTAGAACAGCTGTTAATGGTCATGCATATGACAAGCAAAGAAAATGACTAATAACCAATACTTTCACCACAGACTCAATATGTACTTCAAATCAAATAACTGAATCTCACACTTTTAGACATTTGCATCTAAGCATTAGAAAAAATATAAATAAACAACGAAAAATTATAACAACAAACACCCATAACAGACAGCAAATCTTGACAGTGACACTGTAAAACTCTTAATTTAAACAAAAAATCCTTGTGTTGATGTACCAAAAGGTGTATTCAATCTTAAGGCTGGCATCATATAACACCTTACCTCTTGGACATACAAAATGGTGATGAACTAATTGTCCACTGCAGCTGGGTAAATACATCTGATCAATGACTTTAATCTATCATGTTAATTCATCTCGTAATGCCATCTTAGAAGGGAAAGTCACTGACTTTGAACTATCATGACATCAGATTTGACATTGCTAAAGAAGTCTAAAATAATGTAACTCAAAAGTCAGAATCAAACCTAAGAGCAATGGGTACTGTATACACTACTTCATGAGCAACCAGAAAAAGATTGAGTGTGACAAGGTGTAAGTACAGATATGGCTTGCGTCAACATATACATTTAAGCCATAACAATACCTAAGGAACTGCAGTGTACCAGTGCTGCCTCACATTATTTGAGTGTAAATGAGAGTATGAGTATACGATGTATGATTGAATACACCAAAATGCAGGCAACCGGAATGTGAAATAAACCTCTATACATATTCTAACAATCTGTATGCAAGTATGTGCGAAATAACCTTTAAGCAAATAAACAAACAACCACAAAAAATTGTCCTCTAATCATATATCCTCTTTCTTCCAAAACCATTACAGCAGCTCTATGACTTTCATTTCAATAACATTTAAAGAAAAAATATCTTTTCTACAACTTTGTATGAAATAAGGCGATCATCAAAATTGACAATAGTTTTCTATTTATGAGGATTAACCCTAATCCTACCTATCTCACCTGTCTACTCCTCTTGTTGATTATCAAAACATGATTCTTTACTTTTCAAAATTATCAGTAACTCAGTAAAAATATTAATCATGTTAACCTAGTAAAAATATCAATCATGTCAACCTAATGCCCAATCCTAGTACAACCTATCTCACCTGTTTACCCTTTTCCTTTGATTTTCTGCTTAAAGTAATGACAAAAACATTATAATTATAATAATCTATAATAATAATAGCTTCAATATTGATAGCGTTAGGGGGAAAAAAAAGCACTTGCAGAGTTATCTACAAGTAGATATTTCACAAAACAAAACTATTATGAACACTACCTGATGCCATTGGGTTAATAATAATAGTAACAGCACTGAAATCATTAGAAAAATACATTTTCCCAAAAAAATCAAGGAATGGGAAAATCAAGCATTGGGCCTTCTAACTGACTCCTTTATTCTACTTTTTAAAATCTCAAAGGGTTGAACTTGGTCTTTCTTTTCTTTTTTTTTTCTAATTCATACTTGCATAAATTCAAGGCTTTCACTCAGATTTCTTACTGTATATCTAAAGGTTTGAATAAGGTCTTTATGCCACATTAGTTTCACGCATGTTTAGGTATTTGTATATGAAGAATAAACATTTGATTTGATTTTTAATTTTCCTGGGGTGAAAGTAAAAAAATTAAAGGGTCACAGGTATCCCACCCCCTGTAACTCTTGGTATAAATACCAATAACCTAATAAGTTTAAATATCTAAAAATTAGTATTAGGTTCCCTTTAACTTGGCACTTCATACAAATACTCAAAAGAATGTAAATCTACCTTGGATTTTCTTTGCACAAAGCTACCAAATATGGCAACTGACGGATCTCATAATGAAAGTAAATATGCTAATTCT